AGGGCTTAAGATTTAGAGGTCTGCCCAAACGACTTAGAATGAGTGTCTGCTCTACAGCCGGAACGGCTGCGTAGGAATCGGTCGTTGTGTCTGACCGTCTGATTGATCCCAGTCATACCCGTATGCGCCAGAACCCCCCTACGTAATATTAATACCAAACCGCCGGATCCCAGTTTTAATATTAGGGAGGGGGGGAGCGTTTAATATTAGGGGGAAACGATTACATCTCTCCAAGGCGTACCGCAGTCAAAGATCAAAAGCCCTACCCAGTTTCAGAACTCACACTCGGACAAGCCTGGGCGAGGTTACGGGGATTAGGGTTTAGGGCCGATAAGGGTTTGAACGCCTGAAGAACAGATCTAGGGATTCATGGCCGCTGCAGAAGCCAAACGAAGATCTGACGCCTTTCTCTGCTCCAACCCAGTACCGGGTTGAAAAGGCCGCCCCCACGTTCAGGGGCTCCTCACAAAATCTCTTGAAAACACGAAGCTGGCCCTAGATGCCCAGTAAGTTGGGTCGGCGACTGTCTTTAGGCCTTATAAGGCTCCGAGCCTCTACGGCAACCCAACACATATCCGGGCTTCCTGGGTCAGATGCTCTTGAGGCCGATTACCTCAAGGCCTATATACATGTTCACTGCTTGGTCCAGGGAGTCCACAGTTCAGAAACCCCTAAACCCGAATCGCCAAACTCAGGAACCTTACGTCACACTCGAAACCCTGTTCATGTCCCTCATGGGACCTACGTTGAAGAAGAGCACCCTCTTCGGGAACTTCCATCAGCCGAAAGCCATGGAGGGAATCACATGCCATCTGCACGGAGGCACAACCTCATTGGTGGCCGCTTGTGCATCTGCCTCGGCTGGATTTGAACATACTCTGTCGACGGTACTTGAGACTCCGGATGCAAGAAGTTACTATAGAGTTGGTACTGCAATAGCATGACAATGACAAGCTGAATTGCTGGTTCATGACCAGACGCAGGGAACGTGGGCTTTCGGTAAAGGGATTGTGATTTCTCTCTCTCGCTTTCTGTTTCTGCCGCTCGCCACTCAGCATCTGCTAAACCCCACATGCAGTTTTTCGTGTGAAACCGGTCACCAACCACATGAACCCATATTTTGCATATGTAGATGATTGTATATATATATATGTAACACGCACACGCACATTGACTAAGTCTCATGTTCTGAAAACCCTGCCTGCTTTACTAGTTATGTCTATATAACTACATGGCAGAAGGCATTCTTCCGTAGTGTAGGATCGTGTTCGTGTGTCCCCGCGAACAGGTACTTAAGCTCGGACCCTTGGACAAAAACTAAACCCTAGGGGTCGTATGGGTGTTAGATGATCAGTTATAGATGTGCTATGCACTCTAAATCCCCCCTACACACTACGCCCTAAACCCTGAACCCTCAGCCCTAAGACTGCCCTAAGCCTCAACCGTAAATCGTAAGCCATATCCGATCCCCTAAACCGTAAATCGCAAAAGTTAAAACCGCAATAGCCTAAGACCCTAAACCTGTAAGAAGGCTTTGTGCGCGATAGGCTATTGTCTGTATGTGTATAGATATGTATATATATATGTGTGATAGGAACCCCGAAAGCGTGAGAGACAAGATCACTAGTTGACCAGAGCCCTACAGAACGCTTTTCTATGACGCCCAAGGCGCCGCATTGTGGTGGCTGCAAAGAACCAGCAGCCCTCGCAACAGCGGCAAGGTATGTGTCTGGCGGAGAATCCCAAAACCTCGCTTTCGCATGGGAGGGCAAAGGGGCGGCTGAGCAAACAACAGCGTCTGCGCACGGTTACTTGTGGGCCTTGGTGGGTGCGCAGTAACCATTCAAAGTCAGACCGCCCTTGTCCCCCAAGCCCTTGGCAGTTTGGCCGAACCCTTGCAACCCGAAGTCCGAAATTGTAAATGTCGACAAGAGCCGACACTAAACCATATAAGTCCCCCCCAAGAAGGCCTAGAGGCCCTAAACAAGCAGAGAAAAACACACCTAAGACACCCTAAAACATCCGAGAGGGGAGAAAAACCGTCAACAACCAGAACACCTACTGTTCTCTAAGGTTTGGGGCTTATAGGGGTTCTATTATTGGTAGAGTTTTTATTGGTTCTAAAGCGTTACTGCCAGGCCGGGGCTCAGCTTCCCAGGCAGTCCCAAGCAGACACAACCACGATGTCGCTCGGATTCCTTGGGGATTCTGGGGTTTTAGGATTTTGAGGTTTTAGGATTTTGGGGTTTTAGGATTTTGGGGTTTTAGGATTTTGGGGTTTTAGGATTTTGGGGTTTTAAGATTTTGGGGATTAGGATTTAGGCTTTTAATGGGTTTAGGGGATTAGCCGGGTCTCTGCCCGATCTATGTGCGTAGGACGATAGGCCACTCAACGAACCTGCTCTCCCTCTCAACTTCTGAAAGACCTAAAGAGTCCGGTGGCTCTGCGCAGCTGCAAAGAGATGCCCAGGTATAGAGAGAGGAGACGCTTCCTGGGAGGCACAGAACGGAATCGGTCTGGGTTCAGGGTATAGCCAGGACCTATATATTTACATACAGGTTTAGAATCTGGAAATCTTAGCTTGTCTTTGAAACAAAAAGCATGGAGTGGAAATTCTCGTCCATGATCTTGTCACCAATGTCCCTAGAACCTGAACCCCGGCCCTCTCTCGATCCGTTCGTCCCCCTGTGCATCCATGCGTCCCATACTCGTCACGACCTTGAAGCCCAAGGCGCGCACAGCATCCTCTCAGAGACAAGTCAGAAAAGAAGTGCGATTAGCTTCTACTGCTCAAGCATTCGTGATTAGACTACGGGCTTCCGGCACCACACCATACTATAGCAAAGCAAATGATCTTAACTGACAAGGAGCTTCTCCGGTATAAAAGAACTCATGAAGATCTGGAGTCTAGCAGTTTAGCATGCAGAGCTGCTTTCGGATTGCAGTATAAAGCACCGAACCGGCCCCCTACGACATGAAGTTCTATGGCGACCCCGCTATACTCCTAAACTCTATAAACTCTGATGTTGTTCCCCAACATGCAATTTTGTGGAGGCTCCTGGTAGCGCTGCCCTGTCCGTGTGCGAAAAGCAGAGCCGCACAGGGCCAAGACGGTCGTGTCCGAACAGAACCTGTGGGGATCAATGAGGGCTTGCGCAGTTTAGAGTTTTAGATTTCGACTCACACACTCGCTCACGCAGGCATGGCAGGTTACGAGTTTCAGATTTAGGGACACTTACAAAGTTTGAGAAGAGTCAGATTATGTAGCCTATATACCCTACACGGTCTACCCGTCTACCCGAAACCCTAAACCAAACAAACGGGAGAGTTGCCTTAAGGCTCGTCATGGTCACAGCTTATGTTTGTTACGTTAGTACTTACCCAGACGGCCGATACCCCTTGTCATCATATCAAAACCCCTGCTCACGTACTAGTATGTAGGTGGTGCACAAGGTCTACCATTCGCTCAAGGCTTGCGGCTTTAAGATCTTGGGTTGAGTTCGGAGTCTCAGGTTTGGGAATTCAAGCTTGGGGTCCATGATGGTTCGGGCACCTCGACGTGCTAACAGTGTAATTGGCAAGCTGCTTGGTTGACTGGAGGGTCTGGAAAAGTTTAGCATGAAAGGACCTCTCTGGGCGTCCATTGTCTTTGGGCTTTCCTGTAGGGACGAAACTACGGGGGATGGCTGGTAGCCATTGCAACTCGCAGAAAAAAATAACTTTCCCGCACATACCGGACGCGATGTGGATTGGCAAAATCCGTTGCCAGACCTGATCACGAGCCAACCGGTAAAAAAAATGCCATGAAGCTTCGACCCTATAACTCTAACGATAGCAACAATAACAATGACATGAACGATAGTCACCCCTAAACCACAACTCCCAAACCCTACACCCTCGACCCTCGATCCCACGATAAACTCGACACTCTTCAGCTGCTTGGTACGTACGGACACCTGAACAGGTGAACACGAGAATAACCGGACACCAGTCATTGCCTGCTGGTCTCTTCTGCCACCTGGGATACCAATCACACAATTCGAGGGCCTATAAGGCTTCCAAAGCTTGGCTTAACACACGCCAAAGTTGATTCCTAAACTCCACTGCTTACCACTCCTGTGACGGGGGCCAGGTGCTGTTCGCTGAGGGTCCGCATCGATGTCAAGTGTTGGCGACACTTCCGTACAAAGTACATACTTTGAAGATTTGCCCGAGAAGGCATATACATGGAACTATGCGCAAAGAACGAATTACCTGATGCTTCTGCCAACTTCACGACAAGATCCAACTTAGTCAGGGTTCCGTCTGCGCAGTGTGAGGGGGGACACTAGTCGCTCAGCCATGTAAGTGCGGTTGTTGTTTCGGTCCCCAGGACTCCAACGACCAAAGTACGAGGGACCGTAATGCAAAGGGGGTGCACGAGGGGTTTTGGGTTCTGTGGCTTATAAGTAGAACCCACTCCAGGGTATGTTGGGATTACGTAGAGATTTCACGATTTTTTGCAACATGCACGGGCCCTTACATCATTCCCTCTATCTCTGTGATGTCGGTAAATTCCTGGTCGGAAATCCAGAGATGTACCAGGTAGGTATTCCACTACCACAACTCAAGAACTCACACACACACGCACACACACAGTCACTACTGAGCGAACGGACATTGCCTACTCCAGCAGTATGGTAATCAAAGCCTCGGAAACAAAAGGTCGGAAAGCCCCACACAGCCTCCCGCAGCTGGGAATGAGAGATTTTTCGGTTGAGGTTTGGGTTCATGGTTTGGGGTCAACTGTGGCCTTAGACCTATAACTACAGTACAGGGCCTAAACCTTCGAACAAAAGGGAGTTGAAACCCAGGAAGGGTTTAGGGATGACTTTCAACCCGCAACTCCGATCACCTGAAACAGTTTTTTTTAGTGTTTAGGGTTGCTGGGGCCTGCTTTTGTTACTCAATCAATCCCTTCCACTGCCATTGGACACAAGTCACGAATCCAACATCGCTGAAAACCTCAGTCCTCTGAACCCTTGTAATCCTAAGCCCTGCGCCCTAAATTATGAAATCACCTATTCCCTGAATGTGTACTTTCTATGCTGGTCTCAATCACTGTTTAATCTCAGCTGAGCTATGGCCGCCCGTATGAACGGCTCCATTGCCTCTGCTTGCAGGTTCTGTCACCCTAAACCCTAAGCCCCGAAACCGCCCCTCAGCCCAGAGCCCTCAGCAATTATATACTTGAAACCCTAAGCCCTACATGCTAAATCCCTTGAGTTTGAGCAAAGGTATCCCCGTGGTTTTGGTTCAACGGAGCTGGTACCGATACTTCAGAAAAGAAGGATTTATTGCCAGATGACAGGTTCTGGTGGCACCAGAAGCCCAATAGCAACATGGTCGGGTAATCAGTTACTTATTCATGAGTTGTAAAATGAATTATACATTATATAGTTACTATTTAATTATCTTTAACTAGTATGAATATTTAAATATCAGTTCACATTCAACAGGAAATAAGAAATTATGGGCTCCGCCCGAAATCTTACGCCCCATGACAAATAAAACGCCGAAGGAACCTCTAAGAGAATGGGATCTGCCAGGGCGTCAAACTTCCGAGACAACTTCCTGCAGCTTCAGGTTTTGAGCGGTTTAGGGTTTAGGGCTTATTTAGGGTTTACCCTAAACCCTAAGCTTTCTGGTTTAGTGTCTATAGGGGGTCTATATTGCTTGGGGTCCTTGCCATGCTCCAGAACATCTGGCTTTACGGTTTCAGGTTTAGGCTCAAATAGGGACTTGGGGTGAAGTGCTTTGGGCTGGTGTGGTCTGACACCTACGTTTCGCCTGCGTTTCTGAAATGATCGGACAATACGAGTGCATGTGCATACAACGCAACATAAATAAGCGATTTATGTGGGCACCTACATGCAGGGGCTGCGCAAATTTGATGGCGTGCCTGTGTACACATCTCATGTAGAATGGTATCATTGTGCAGCTCTTGCCTGCGATACACCCATACCATGCATAATTGCATACGCACATTACGGCGAGGTGTGCCTCAAGGCTTGGGGCACGTTGTGGTCTCAGGCAGGTATGCAGGGTATGTACATGTGTCAGAGTATGGATCATCGTGGGCAAACATCCTCCTGAAAGATTTGTAATGCTTGTATACACAGGACATCTGGACATCCTGCAGGTAGCGAGGTAGCTAGGTAGTCACATGCATTATTGCATGCAGATAGGCTTAGGTGTGAAAGCACACAGCATATGTGCATCTAGATGGGCGTGTTTTTTGTGAGAAGCTGTATATGAAAATGAGCTTGGAAGCGAATTGTCCGTCAGAGAGAAACAGAGGCCCAGGTCCCGGAAACCCGCAAATCTCTCTGTACACAAGCTCTTGCATCCGAATCAAAGAGCTCGTAAATCCAAACAACGATTGCACAGAAGCGCTGAAACGGTGCTAACTCCCAAAACATCAAACTCCCCCAGCCGAGCCCTAAAGACACAAAGCACTCGACCCGATCGAAACGAAGCCCACTAAACCTAAGAAAATCTAGTAGACACCACTCCCAAATACACCCCGCTGCCCAATTACACGACCACATAGCCCATTAATTTTAGTTCATGAGTGCCCTCGATATGTATGTATATGAATATGAACCATCCTCTCTCCTTATATAAATATATACATACATACATGTACATACATACATGTATATATATATATATTAACTACATAGTTCAACACTAAATCCCAAGATCCTGATTGTGGAGCCCATATTTTGAAACCTCAGCCCCATGCGAACTCCGAACTGTGGACCTCCAAGCGGTGCCGTGGTGGATGACGCTGAGACTGGGGAGGTTCCTTCAGGTCTTCTGGGCTGTGAAAATCTTTAGGATTTAGGGTTTAGGGTTTAGGTTTCATACTATATAGGGCTTTAGGATTTAGGGTTTATAGGGTTTAGGTTTCATATTAGGGCTTTTGGGCTTTAGGGTTTAGGGTTTAGGTTTCATATGGTTAAAGGAAACTACAGGTGGGGAGTTTAGGGTATGTAGGGCTTCTATAAGGCTTCTAAAAGGTACTCCTATAACGGTATCTACCCACCTGAAAATGTCCTAGATATGGGGCTCACGGCTGTCATAACTACATGGATGACATTTTAAACCATTTTCGGGGCATATCCTGGAGTACGTAGGGGCGGGGTCATCATAGGAAGGGGATACCATAACACCGTAAACGGCAAACTGGCCTCCCTGGATCCGAAATACTGCAAACCTATCTCTGTTCATCAACCCTAGGCCCCTTGCCAAAAGCCTGAAACTCGCCGAATGTAGGGGACCTTAGTAATTAGAACAGAGTGTTTGGGTATATTATACTATAATCATAATACGGACCCCCCCCCAACAAAANNCCCCCCCCCCCCCAACAAATAAAAAACGGCATAGGTAACTATTAAGGCCCCTGCGTTGTCCCACAACCTCCATCTCCAAACCTTAAGAGTCTTGTATGGGCTTGTTTCATGCGGGGGCTTATGACCCACAAGGCTTGATCAGGATTGCATGGAGTTGAGGTTGGCTGAGGCTTAAACTGTCATCTCCAAAGGAGAAAAAGGTTGCAGACCCCGCCGCCCAACCCTACAATGCCCTACAAGTCTACAATCTTCCGCACCTGCAAGATCCCGAAATTAAGCTCTAGCCCTAGACCATACGAGAAATCATCCTGCCCAAACCTGTCTGATGGATCTCCATGTTATTCTATCCTATAGGGCTATGAACTTGCTACGGTTTAGATAGGTGGGCGTTTTAGCACTGGCCACTGGCTGCGAACCCAGTGGCCAAACTCATGCAAATCCCACCGGCGCCACAAACTCCAAACCCTAAACCTTAAAC